TTTATCTATAATAAGGTATTTTAGTTTTGTCTTCTCATTTTTAACTCCATAAAGTAGATGCTGTTAATGGTTTATACCAGTGGTTGTCAACCTGTGGGTCGTGACCCCTTTGGGGATTGAACGACTCTTTCACAGGGGTTGCCTAAGACCATTGGAAAACACATTTCTGATGGGATCTACTCACATGCTTACTATTTTTCTTTACTTGCCATGCCTTTTTAGATCTCAGATCTTTGGGTGTTCATTTAAATCTGTGTAGAGAACGGCTTGTTTTGGCATTTCTTTTTTAATGAGAGTCAGTAGTGGTAAATTGTTTCTGTCCAAAAATGTGTTTTACCCCTGTCTTTGAAACATAGTTTTACTTAATACACTAGTCCCTGTTGATAATTTTCTCTCAATACTCTGAAGATATTTTTTGTAACTTTTCCTGGCTTTCACTTGTTCTCTTGTGTTAACTATTGAAATAATGTCATTCTTTAGTAAATAATTTGTCTTTTGCTTTGGATGTTTTTAAAGTATTCGCTATGTCTTTGATGTTCTATAAGAGTATATCGTAAATAGCAGCTCTTTCATTTTGTACAGTTTCTTTTATTGTTGGTAATATACATAGCAAAACTTACACCAGTTCAACAATTTCGACGTGTATAATTCAGGGACATTGATGACACTGAGTCGTACAACCATTCCCACCGTCCGTTTCTGAGTTCTTCCTCTCCACTGAAGATACAGTTTCTAGCTACTTCCAGAGTTAGCTATCCAAAATTTCAGTTCTATTGTGAGTCTAATTAATTCTCTTATCAAACAAATAAACAAAAGCCCTCACTCCATCAAGACTATTCTGACTAATGCTGACCTTACAGATAGGCCATAAAAGAGAGTAATATTCATGATCAGTGTTCTTTATAAATTAATCTATCTGGTTTAAAATGGAACACTGGTGGTGTAGTGGCCACTTGTTGGGCTTTGCATCTATGGTCAACTGTTCAAAAACCATCAGCAGCTCCTTGGAAAAAGACTGAGCTTTCTACTTCTATAAACAGTTACAGTCTTGGAAACCCTGTGGGGGTCACTATGAGTCAGCATTGACTCAATGCCCAGGAGTTTATTTGGTTGTAACATTTCAGGGATATTTGGGCTTACTTATGAAATCTACTCATAAACCAATAGTTTAAGAATGTCTGTTGAATAAGATAACTCTGAAATCTTAGTAAACAATTTTATGGATAAGTGAATAAATGTTTTTTTTTGATGGACACATAATGTAGGTCCCAACCCCAAAATTATTATATATATTTAACATTATTCTAATGAAAATTAATTAGAAAAGGAAAAGGTATGGTGTATGCTGTGGTGAGGAAAGATAGAGATTTGCCTTGGTAGATTTGTACAAGAAACTTTGTTTACCCATCCATGAGGTTCCATGCTGAAAAAAGAAAAGTACTGAACCTAAAGAGATGTGGAGAGGGATTTGTTAAATAACTGTATATTATAACACAATTGTTTTAGTGTCGCATCGGGTTAGTGCCAAATGCCTGTCATTGAGAGGTTCATCCAATCTGAGGCATGTTACACCCTTATTTTAAGGAGATATTTAATCTACTAACCTGGAGGAATTATAAAGTTTAATAAAACAAAATTAGTTCCATTTTACTCAAAATATGTACATCTGTGCACACATATTGGTATGAGCCTGGGGAAAAGGTCTAGAAAGGCATGTTATTTGAGGTAGGTGTAGGATTGGTGGTTTATGCAAACAAGAGTATTAAGGTTTTTTGTATTTTTTTTTTGTAATTAAATATTTCTTAGATCTTTCTCTCACCATTGATCCTTGTAGAATCTCATTGTATTGACAATGGCCTCTTTTGTTTTCAACTTCTATTACATGATACTCGCCTAGCCTCAATCACTGATTGGGCGCAGATGATGATGAATTATCATAGGAGGAGTAGAGTATTCAGAGAGGATCTGAGTGTTTCTAGATGTTATGTGACTCATAGGATTGGCAGGACATGCCTAGATCACAAAATAGGATTATAACCACACATCACATATGAAATATATTTGTTCCTAACGCTAGGGATCTGGTTTCTTTCTTCTTTCAAGCGTGAGCAAGAAAGTCAAATGGCTCGTCTTAAAAAACAGCAGGAAGAGTTGGAACAGATGAGATTACGTTACCTGGCTGCTGAAGAAAAAGATACAGTAAAAACTGAGCGGCAAGAATTATTGGATATAAGAAATGAATTGAACAGGTATAACTAAAAGACTGCGTCTCCTTCACCCCCACCCCCACCCCCCCATCAAACCAAAAGTTTTAGTAGAACAACCTTTACTTGGTCATGAGTATGGGGAAGGAATAGTCATGGTCTAAGGTAGTGCTACATGCTCACTCTGCTCATGTGGCATGAAACGGCATGTACTATTCTCATGTAGTCTGCAGGTACATTTATTTGATATGTGTATTGGAGACAAGGTATTAAAAATATTTATAACACTCTTAAGAACTTCCTATAATGTACAGTGCTTTATTGTTTTATTTCAACAAATAATGTCTTAGCCCCCTGCTGTTTGCTTCCATTGTTTTGGTGACTTAAGTGAAGATAGCCATTTTGCCTGTAGAATTTGGAGGTGATACAAAATTGAACTATGTCACTAGTGTCTTATCAAGTCAGGATTCTGAATGCACGAAAACTAATAAGATTAGATGTATCAGAGACAGAAGCAAAGTCCTCTGTTCAAGTTACATGAAAAATGGGATGTGCTAGATATAATAATAGGAGAAAGATGAGACTTTCTGTTCTTGGAAAGATCAACTCCTCAGAAACCAACAGGAGCAGTTCTGCTCTGTCCTATGAGGTTGCTATGAGTCAGAATTGAACCATTGGCAGTGAGTTGATACTTGATAAGAACAGAGAGAAACCCAAGAGGATTTAAGTAGCCCTTAGTACTACGTATAACTGGCTACAGGAAATGCTTCTAATTCACAACACTGGCTAACTGTGGTCTTTATAGATAGGATGACTTCAAATTGTGAATTAAGCATTTTTGTGCGGCCAGTTACACGGAGGAGTACAAAATTCTATCTTGTTAAAGCACTAATTGTAAACTGGTAAAAAGCTCCGCTCAGCAGAGCCTTCATACTATGCATTTTTCCTGCTAGACGAGCATCCAGCAACTCGTTCTGAGTCAGTGCACCCAGGGGCGTCACCTGGGAAGTTTCTCTCTGGTCCCAGTGAATTTTTTCATAAAAGCAGGTTTGCTTAAATCTCGTTTTTGTGATGGCTGATTGGAGAGAACAGTGTGCAGCCGTGAAAGTTTGTTTTCCTGCTTGGGGAAAAAAATGCCACAGAAACAGTTGTGATGTTGAACACAGCTTACAAGGATAGCGTTATGAGAAAAACTCAAGTGTACAAGTAGTTTTCTCGTTTTCAAAAAAAGTGAATTGTTGATTGATGACAAACCTTGTTCTGGATGTCTGTCAGCTTCCTGAATGGATGAAAATGTTGACTTGTAGTGCATTTGAAGTTCATTCTACCAGGTTAGACTGTGAATCAAGCTTTCTATTTAGAGGTTCTGAAAAGATTGCATAATAGTGTGTGGGAAAAAAAAGGCCTGGTTTGTGGCAGACGGGACTGGTTTTACCACCACAACAATGTACCTGCTCACCCAGCCATCTAAAAACAAGGATGCTGCTGCATCCAAACAGATGAGTTGGGAAAATGTTCCAAAGAAAGGAATCACCAATTTGACAAATGTATTAAGTGTAATGGAGAGTACTTTGAAGGTGATAAGATTTTCTTATGAAAAATTTAAATATATAGCTTTGAAAAAAAGTTCATTTTTTGGGTGGTACCCCTTTGTATGTTAAAACATACTATAAATGCAGTAGATATTATTATCACTTAGTAAGTACACTAAGCGTTATTGGTACCTATCCATTTTTAAGGTAGCATCATCAACAATAAGGAGCCCTGGTTGTGTAATGGTTGAGCGAATTGGGCTGCTAACTCAAGTTCAGCAGTTTAAAACCACTAGCCGCTCCCTGGGAGGAACTCGGCCTTTCTATTCCTGTAAAGCAGTGGTTCTCAACCTGTGGGTCGCAACCCCGTGTGTGTGTGTGTGTGGGGGGGGGGGTGTCGAGCGACCCTTTCACAGGGGTCACTTGATTCATAACAGTAGCAAAATTAGTTATGAAGTAGCAACTAAAATAATTTCATGGTTGGTGGGGGGCTCACCACAACATGGGGAACTGTATTAATGGGTCATCAGGGAGGTTGAGAACCACTGCAAAGAGTTGCAGTCTGAGAAACTCACGGGCCATTCTCCCCTGCCCTATAGGGCCACTTTGAGTTGGCAGCAGCTTGATGGCCGTGGATTTGGTTTTTGGTAAGATCAACAGTATTCTATTGGCAGCATCCACATTTCAGACTGGCGCCTGCTACTACTCTTTTTCTATCTCCTAGATGAGATCACCACAACTGTAACTTGCAGATATACATACAAAGCCTTAAAACACAAGGCATTCACATTTATGTCTACTTTAGAACTATGATAGAGACTTTTTAATTCACTACAGTATCCTAAATCCTAGAGTGAGCACAAATATTTGTTGCAAAAAGATTAGGAAAAATTTCATGTTCAAAACATTAACAACAAAAGTTTTGCAGAGCCTAGAGGTCAGCAATGAGGAACAGTTACTGTTGAATCCAAATGATGGAACATCTCAAAGACGTTTAGGAAAACAGTAGCTCAGTAAATATATACACACTATACACACATGTGGGAAGGTAATATGTAGCACATTGTATACATAGTGTTAATTTTTTTTAGAGAAAATATGTATTTAAACTACAAGTACTTTTTTTTTGAATTATATTTAATTGCAAAGCTATATATATGAAAATGTTAGATAGGCTATCTCTGTGTGGTAATATTGCATATGATTTTTATTTTTGTATATTTCTAGAATTTCTACAACTTTCATGTGTTACTTTAAAATGAGAAAGATACTGATTTTAAGACTACCGTTTAAAATTAATGTAAACTCTGCCTAGCCAAATAGAAGATTGGTTTCTCTTTGTCTTCTTCCTGAAAATTGAACTGAAATCTATGTTGTCATTGGGTTATTTGGTTTTCACTTATGATGTTAGGAAAACCAAGACAAGGTTTGTTGCCCGCTAATGACATTGGTCCGTTCTTCCCAGGTTAAGGCAACAAGACCTAAAACAGAATCAGGATGCCAGAGAAATTGCAAATGGAAAAATGGATAGCTCACATGGCAAAGCCTTGGAAGAAGGTTTGGATGATTATTTGACTCGCTTAATAGAAGAAAGGGATACTTTGATGAGAACGGGTGTGTATAATCATGAGGATCGAATAATAAGTGAACTGGACCGACAGATCAGAGAGGTTTTAGCAAAACACAATGCCAGTAATGAATAACATATGGGACATCTTTACGAAGACCCTCCAAAGAGAGAGAAATAGATTTTTAAATGCTATTTTCAATTTTTTGTAAGCAGAACTTTGTATGGTATTGTATAGTATTTATTTGATTTTATTAACTTTATGCTACCTCTCCCATGATGGTTTTATTGTAATTGTTTTTTACATACTCATTTGAAATGATTCTTCAGTGTTTCTCATCATTTATAATTTGATGACTAACTTTCAAAACAGCCTTTCACTAAATTTGTTGAAGAAAACTGACTGCACTAATTTTCACTTCTAGAATTTTGTATGTTGAGCCAAAAAAACATGTGTTGCACTTTAACAGTACTATGTCTTATGTTCCATTTTAATATATATATCTTAAAACTTGAGACCGATTGTAGATATAACCAGTTTTACTTAACTTGATTTGGATGACCTATCTTATTTTTTTCTTTGAACTTGTAATATTTGCAAGTGACCCGTTTGTAAGCATAAATCAAGACAGAGAAGCCATATGATATATTGAATGACATTAAGTCATTTAAATAAAATTAGTACGTATTACACTTGTTTTAAGAGCTATTGAACTTTCAGATTCTCAGCATACTCTTTTCAGAATATGAAGCAATAGTTTAGTATACTTTTCTCTGATGTCGTGTGCTCAAGATTACATTGTTTTCTTTTATTGGAATTCGAGGTTTTTCTTCCAACAATAGTAATATTAATTGTTACTTCAAATCTCTAAAATAATATGGAAACAGACATATAATCGCATTAACTAAGAAAATTGGGTTAAAACCTCACTATTTTGTACTGCCCCTGCTTTAATCAATCATTTTCCAAATTCCACATAAAATGTTAGTTACTGGGTTTATGCTGTGCCGTATCCATGTAGCTTTAAGGGTTCCTATAGATCGTATCCTGCAGAACCAATATTTGTCCCTCCAGCAACATTTTCTCACCTCCTTCTACAGGGTACTACAAAAGGTTTATTAGTGGAGGCATAAATTAAGTGAGCCTTATAAAATATTTGTAATTTTAAAATTCTGATTCCCAAAAATAAAAGGTGTAAGTATATGCTTTGGAAGTATATACCAATTTTCTGCTAACTTTCATAAAAGCAGAGTAGGCTATTTGGTAACATTAAAGCAGTTAATTTTCTGTTGTCTTCCAGTGGGCCTATTTCTTGTTTGTGAAATTCAAGTTCCTGCACACTTTATTAACAAATAACCCAGCAGTAAATAACAGAAAAAGGATTTACCTAATGAGAGACTAATGAGTCTGAATCATAGTGGGAATTCAGGATATTAATGCCGATTAGACATGATCTCTCATTGATTGGGTGGCACATGAATGGAACACAAGTATTCTTTCTGTTTTGCAACTTCTTGGGTAACTTGTGACTGTTAGGTTACCACCAATAACATTGTGAGCTGTGCATGACTGTTTTTAAACACTAGAGGGGGCCTTAGATTTAAAGACACAAAAAAGGATTTTTCAAAAACACCGCGTGGTTTATTTTGCCCTCAGTAACATGATCTTTTGCTATGTAATTGAACAAATAAAATCATAATGGTATCCCTCTTTGAGTTCTTGAGCAATCCATTACTTTTGTCTCCAAACAGCAGAGTGCTGGGCAGAGTGCTGGCGCTTCCCACTCAGGCCACTCATCTTCATGTCGTTCCCCCCCCTTTTTTCTTTAGTGCTTTCTTTGCAGGTCCTCCTAAACTAAACGTGTGGCATTGTAACATCTCAGCCATGTCCATTACATCGTGGTATTTAACATATTTATGTTGATTGCTTTACTGTCTTCTCAGGGTATGACCACTTGTGGAAGAGTGTTTGAGTGACCAAATGAGCACATTTCTTAATTCGTGCCCACAACAGCAGACATTTTATCGGTTCTTATAATAGGAAATGAAATGTACATTAAGATATTCCATGGAGAATGTCTCCTTTAGCTAAAGCTGACACTGATTGCCTTGAAGGACTGTGTCATCTCTGTCAGGTCTTTGTTAATAATTGGTAGCTGGTCCTGACTTCCGTTGCTTTCACAGAAGTGGGAGGTGATGTAACCTACGAACATGTAGAGGCTCTGTTATTGGGAGAGACCAGTCCTGGAAGAAAGACATCAGCAGAGTAGACAGGCAGTGTACTTGAGGAAGAGCCTCAGTGAGATGGATTGACACTGCAAGCTGCAGCAATGGGTTAGGCGTAGCAATAATTGTGAGGATGGCCCAGGACCGGGCACTGGTTTGCTCTGTTATTGTGGGAGTCACTGAATCAACTCAGCAACATCTACTAATAACAAGAGAGGTACAAACTCAGGTAAAGAGAATATAATTTGACTAGGTAGTTTTTAAAAAATCATTGTATTGGGGGTTCATACAACTCATCACAATCCACACATATATCAATGGTGTCAAGCACATTTATACATTCGTTGCCCTCATCCTCAAAATACTTGCTCGCCACTTAAGCCCTTGGTATTAGCTCCTCATATTTTAAATGAAAATCAATGTGTACTTTTTAACCTGAACACAAGGTAAATTGGAGGATCCTGGGAATTTAAGACTATAATACTGTACCTTCATGTTTAAAAAAAATTAAGATATGTTACCCTTTAGAAAAGATCAGTATAAATAAATAAATAAATAAAAACAACTGATTGTTTAACTTAGAAGATGGTCCAGACTTATTTTTTATTCAGACTGCTATTTTTTTAAGAAGGTTCTTTTTTCTTTTTTCTTTAATATGAATGTAGGAACCATTTATTTAAATTTTCATTTAATTTTTCAGAATCCTGAAAATTCAAAGAACTTTTTAAAAAAGCCATCTAATCTACATGTAAACAGATTGGTCTATATTGAAAATTGAGAATGAAAAAACAATCTAAATGTGGATACTTTTTAAAAAGCTAGAACTTCCAGACAAGCAGTACATCTACAGTACTAACTGAGCCTATTCTTGTAATGTTCAACCAATAGGATAATAAAGAAGCAAATAAAAAATGCAAATGACAAAAGTGAAAAATTAATCATGAATGGAAGTGTAACAGCAATTAAATTCTTTTTAAAAGAGAATACTTAAAGAAAATAAGTAATAGACTATTAGAACATGAATGATTAAAGTAAAAATTTCATTTGTTATATGCAGATAATTCCTTTATGTGAGAGCATTTGGACAAAGTTAAAAATTTTTTTTTTAATTAAAAGATCATTTTATCATGGACTCGTACTGCTCTGACCCCCCTCATTCTCAACAATATTTGTTTGTATTGGGTGTTTTATTACCCAGATTACCAGATCCTGTTGATACCTCATGATCACATAGGCTGGTGTGCTTCTTCCATGTGGGCTTGTTGCTTCTCTGCTACAGGGCCACTTGTTTAACTTCAAGCTTTTAAGACCCCAGGTGCTATATCTTTTGATAGCCAGACACCATCTGCTTTCTTCACCACTTTTGCTTATGCACCCATTTTGTCTTTAGCGATTGTGCGGGAGGGTGACCGTCACAGAATAACAGATTGTTAGCACAAAGTGTTCTTGCATTGAGAGAGGGCATGAGCAGAGGCCTGACGTCTGTCCATTAGCTCAGCGTGTTGCCTTATAAATATATGAACATAGGCCAATACCTCTATTTTTATGAATTAATATATTTACATAGGTACACACCTATGCTTATACCTGTTTCCTTTTACCTTCCTCCTGCCCCACCATCACACTCACCCTTCTTCCACCTTTTAGTAATTCCTCTCAGCTAGATTGCTGTTGCTCCAACACCCCCAGGATCTCTACATCCTCCTCGTTGTTGATTTTAATCCCCCAGTTATTCCCGTTTATGGTGTTGTTTGCTCACCACTCCCTCCACAACAACCCCCACCCCAAGTCCCTCCAGACCATCGCTCCCATAGATTTCTCTACAAGGTTCCTTCCCATGCCTATCTTATGTAAATAGGCA